TTTCTGTGAAATCAGTCACGCGAACTTTTTAAATAATAAGATTTAAAATTATCCGTCTTTTAACAAATAAAGCTTTGTTGTGAAGCTTTTATAATGAAAAAATACTATTATTTAATAGGCAATTGCAAATTGTACTTTTGCTGATTAGCAATTGAATTAATTACAATATTTGAATATTGTAATTAGCGATTATTAGAAGGTCATAAATACATATATGTACCGCTCATACATCGCAAAGTTCTATTATCTTGTTAGCAACTTTCAGGCGCACAGCAAGTAACCGAGTTTCAAAATCGTACTCTAACTGCATATTTCTCAGAACTTCACCTTTTATACGTAATGTTCCATGTAAAATGAACGGCATAATAACTTTTCATAATCATTTATAGTTAAAAATATAATTTTGTTTATGCCGTACAGTATTTAAAACCATTAGAGACCTAAAACTTAATCAATATTTTTATGCGCTGCAAAAAAGTATGTAAATAAAAATGTACGGCATATGTTTTTTTTTGTTTTTTAATCTTTGATATACATAAAATAGCAAGAATAATTTTTAATATCACTTTTGTTATTAATAAATATACTAAGTGACATATAAATCCGAACACCCAGTTTAAATGGTTTTATTTTAATAAAAGTTGGTGAATGTATTTATCTTACTGTAAATAACGAGTGAAAAAATTTTCAGCCTTATCAGTTGGACATTGCGGTTTTTATACTGCTTTTTTTAATTCACTAACGCTCTAAAAATGAATATTTCAGCCGCAGTAAAGAATCAACGTTGGCGGATTTTGGTTCTTGACATCCTTTACGATCGGTTACGATGCCTAGAGTACGGAGACCTGTACGATTTCGTCAACTTAGTGAGTTTGATAGGGGGCCGTATAGTGGGACTTCGGGAAGCTGGAGTTTCTTTTCGGGCAATTGCAGTTAGAGTGCAAAGAAGTGTAGACACTGTGGTTAGGTGTTGTCAGACATGGCTTCGAGAAGGCCGTACGCAAAGAGCAAGGGGCACTGGACGCCGCCGTAGAACAACAGACCGTGAAGACCGCCGCCTAAGATTATTGGCCTTAAGGGACCGTTTCTCCACTACCAGGTCCATTGCAAATGAATGGTTTGCAGAACACGGAAGACCTATTGGCATGCGAAGTGTTTACCGACGAATGAGAAGTTTTGGCTTGTTTTCATACCGGCCACACTGGGTCCTCCCTTTAACTCGAGAACACCGACGTAATCGCCTTGAGTGGTGCAGACAACGGTCACTCTGGGACCAGGAATGGAACAGTATTGTCTTTAGTGACGAGTCTCGATTTTGTTTAGGCATGCACGATGGTCGTGCCAAGGTTAGAAGGCGACGTGGTGAAAGGAGGAATCCACAGTTTTTTGTTGAAAGACATGTTCATCACACTGTTGGAGTTATGGTTTGGGGTGCTATAGCTTATGGTTCCAGGTCACCTTTAATCTTAATCAGAGGTAACATGAACGCGCAGCGTTATATCCACGAAGTTCTAGAACCCCATCTTTCACCCTATCTTGACACCCTGGCAGATCCAACTTTCCAACAAGATATTGCCCGACCACATGTTGCAAGAGTCACAATAGACTCCTTTCAATATAATGATGTCACATTGTTACCATGACCACCAAGATCTCCCGACTTATCCCCAATTGAGTACGTGTGGGATATGATGGGTAGGAGATTGCTCAATTTGCAACGTCCTCCTCAGACTCTAGAAGCACTTCGAGAGGAGTTGGTGGTTGCCTGGAATGAGATACCACAGGAGGACATGGACCACCTGATCAGAAACATGCCTAGGCGCGTTGGAGAATGCGTAGCACATCAAGGTGCATCCACACATTATTAAAGGTCAAAGGGCTTTAAAGCAATGCAATCATTTTGAAATTTTTATCATTTACTTATTATGCTTCATTAAGTACTTATACAAAATTTTATTAAAATAAAAAATAAACCATTTAAACTGGGTGTTTGGATTTATATGTCACTTAGTATAGTACATTTAAATATCTTTAAATTTTTGAAAATTTATATTTTTTTATTTTAATATATTTTCATGTTTTTCCATTTATTATAAACGGCTACGTGGTAAAATGATAATATTTAATATAATTTTGTAAAAAAATTGATTGCCGTATAGTATCTTATGATTTTATTGTAAGAAAATGATATTGCACCCCCAAATTTTGGTAATTATATATTTATATTTATATGAACTAAATTTTTAAGACGGCATTATTATTTAAAGTTATTTTAGATGTTAAACAAGAGATTGAAATGAATGCCGTACATTTTCCGATAACTTTTCACCATAGAGGTCTAAAGCAGGGGTTGCGACCCGAGTTTTCTCACCCCTGTACCAGCAGATATGTACGGCATTGGTAAATTTTAAATGTAAAAAATTACAGAAAGGTAACTGTAACAATGCCGTACGTTAATTAATTTTTCCGCATAGAAAATTTCCTGAAAATTAAAAAAAACTTATGGCTCCGGCACCATTATTTCCGTACGGCACTAAGTGCATCGTGATTATTTTTTTGGCATCTGTGATACTAAAGAAAGCCGTAAAACACTGGACAACAAATTTTAGTTTTTTAATTGTATCTTGTGGGAAAAGTGCACTTCTTTGTTAATTTTGGGGCGCTGAATCCAAAAATGACAATGAAATAAAAAAAATAGTTGCGGTTTAGAAAAAAAACTTTTTATTTTTAAGCATATATTAAAAAAAATAACAAGATTCATATACTTATAAGAATCACTATATGCTCTGTCTTTTTGCTGTTCTTTTATGGATCGTTTCTGGAGCATCTTTACCAAGAGTCCAACAGTAGTCTGCAAGCATGGAAGGATTCCACTTTCCCTGGTACCTTTTTTCCATTGTTCAAATATCCTGATGAAAACGTTCGCCGTGCTCATCACTTACAGCTCCGCAATTGTCAGGAAAAAAAGTCCAGGTGTGAGTGTAGGAGACATATTACAGCCCATCTTTTGATACGATGACAGCATATTTTTGACAAGGGTTTTATAGTTGTCAGCTTTTCTATTTCCCAAGAAATTAGTGCCCACCAGACGGAAATCATTCCAAGCAGTTTTTTCAATACCTGTTAAAGTGTTTTCAAACTGTGCATCTTTCAAAATTATTTCGAATCTTTGGCCCATCAAAAATACCTTCTTTAACCTTTGCCTCACTTAGTCTTGGAAATTTCTGACGCAGGTATTGAAAAGCTGACCCATCTCTATCTAATGCCTTGAAAGTTTTTCATTAGGCCCAACTTGATATGCAGTGGTGGTAATAAAATTTTTTTCGAATCTACTAATGGCATATGCTGTACATTTTTTTGACCTGGCTCTAGGAATTGACGAACAGGCCAGTTTTGTCTGGTGCAATGAAGTGCCTTTGCCCGACTGTTCCATTCACACAAAAAACAGCAAAACTTTGTGTAGCCTAGCTGCAGCCCAAGTAAAAGTGCAACAACTTTCAAATCGCCACAAATATGCCATTGGTGCTCATCGTATTTTATGCATGTCAATAGGTACTTCATATTGTCATATGATTCTTTCATGTGAACTGCATACCCTACAGGAAGAGATGGTAAAATATTTCCAATATGCAATAACACTGCCTTTAAATGTTGAACTGTCTATAAACAATCTCCATTCTTCTGGGTTATAGTTTATATTTAAAGCCACCAGTAAGCCGTTAATGTTACTGCAGAAAACCAAGTTATTCTCCATATTGAAAAATGGTTCTAAGTCTTTGTGGCGTTTACGAAAAACACATACCGAAACATCGTCTTCTAAGTTCCACTGCTGCAGTCTTGATCCAAGTAACTCTGCCTTACATTTTGGAAGTTCTAAATCTCTTACAAGATCATTTAATTCTGACTGTGTTATTTTGTGCGGTTGGTGGCATGACGTGCTCGGTATAAAATCAGGATCTCTTGACGTTGATGGCATATCTTCTTCCTGACGAATCACTCCATCGCCATGATCTGATTCGTTTTCTGATTCGCAAGTGTAGGATTCTGGGGGTTATGGAAAAGGATTTTCGTCACTGTGAGGCACAGGTCTCATCGCAGATGGTATGTTTGGGTAGTTAATAGCCGATTTTTTTTTCTTGGACATACCTGTGGCTTGACCAACATAGGGTACCATGCAAAAGTAACAATCATTAATATGATTTGTAGGCTCTCTCCAAACCATTGGGACAGCAAAGCGCATATACCGTTTTTTGCCATTTAACCAGCTCCTCAGACTTGAAGCACATGTATTACAGCAGATGTGGGGTGCCCACTGTTTGTCTTGATCACCTAGTTTACAACCGAAATACGGCTGATATGCCTTTGTTATTAGTAGAGTAATAGACCGTCTCTGAGACGCAAAAGTCACATCACCACACACGTAACAAAACTGATCTGGATTGTTTACACACTTTCGAGACATCTTGCATGAAGGCTGTCAGCCAACTGAGGAAAAAATGGCTAATATAAAACAATATAATGTACACGTATGTATAACGTAACACAATCATGCCGATTACATCATCTTTCCTTGCCGAATATAAAAATGTAGCACGTGCATTCTTGTGAATTACAGTATATTAACACTGTCACAGCAGGAACACATATAATTACCGTATCTCTAAAACTTGAACTAATATTGAAAAAATAAGTTTGATTCCGGTTTTAGCACATTAAAAATAGTAATATTTTGTTGATTTTATTTAGCATATTTTTTGGCTGTTGATCAGTGAAATCATTTAGACTTTTCCGACCCCTTCTGGACAGAAAATTTAATTTTCCCCTGTACTTACATGTACCGCTCTCAAGTGACGGCATAGTGCTAGAAGTTATTTTTTCATGTAGTACTATCGTTCTGAGTAGGTTTCCTGCTGTATCACATGACCCCCCCCCCATTTTTTCCCACAGCTCCCGGTCTAAATACTTCCACGCCAGTCGCGTAGGAAGTAGAAGCGGCTTACTTTTTGTTTTTCTTTTGTGCTACTGCTCCAAAGGCGATGGCTTTCTGCAATGTGTTGTTGATATTGACGAGATCTCTCGGTGTGTTTGGATATTCATCTCTGATGGACTCGTAGATTTTCTTGAAGGAGAGTCCTTTGGTTCCGCCGATCTTCTTCAGCGTGGCCAACACCACTTTGGCCACGCGTCGCCTCAAGCGCGTCACACTATTGCTTGACATCTTTTCACTTTCGAATTTTGCATCAAATACTAACGCGGGCCGAAATTCACACCTAGAATTTGATTAACGGGCTTTTTCTTGTCACATTTGACACGTATGTCCAATGACATAAAGATTGGAAGTGTCCTCAACTATTAGGCCTTAGTCACCATGAAAAAATATCTTCTACAGGGTATCCCGATAGGCACTTTGGGGTTTTGTTTTTAAATAAATGCAATAATAAGCTAGTTGTCACTATGTTTAAGTAGATCTTAAATAGTTAATATTTGTTCAATTAGACAACAAAAATAATAGTATACTTTTTCAAACAAAAGGTCGTAGAAGTTTAATTTAAAAATAATTTATTTTTTCTAGACAGGCGAAAACGCTGTCCGCCATGTTTAGCCCATAACCTTTCAAACTTGCAAATGTTATACACAGGGTGTTCCTTAATGTCATGTGAATATTCAAGAGTGTAGGTCTACCTGAAAAATTAATGTTATAAACTATGGTCCAAAAATGTTTCCTTACAAAAACTCGGGTTGTTAAAGTTTTAGGAAAATAAATGGAAATTAATTAATATATTCAGAACCGCTTCAGATATTTCACTGGTATTCAGTACGTAGTGACAGTTAATAAAGTTGCATATTTTTCAATGCAAAAACATTTTTTAGCTTTAACAGTGGCGTGCATACGGGCATTGACTTCGATATTTTTTAAGAAAAAAATGGTACGCAAATGTTTTTTGCCAAATAAAAATTGTTTTTGAATTTCCCGTTAAATTAAAAACAAAACATATCCCCTGAGCTGCTTTTTTTCGATGCACCATTTTTGAGTAAAAAAATAAAAACCGTTCTATTGTCCTAGAAAATTAATGTAATAATCGAAGAATGCAATTTAGCAATAAATATCTAGTTGCTCTGACAAATCTCTGTTATTGAAATCTCTTCGCTGTGACATCTTTTTCATTATTTAGTTTTTACAATCTTGTAAATAATGGTGAATTATTCAAATGCAGAAATGGCGGAAATGCATTACGTATATGGCCTTGCCGACGGTAATGGTGAGCAAGCTAGACGGATTCATCAACAGAGATATCCCGATCGTGCTTTTCCAGATAGTCGAACCTTTCCTAATATTCATCGTCGTCTTGTTGAAACTGGTTCAAATTCTTTGGAGAATTTTAGTGGATTTTTGGTGATAACCTTACCATATTTTAAGAGTACAGGCATTACTTCCCATTGATTTTCCAAGGGACGTGACCTTTTGTCAGTGGTATCTTCAAAAAAATACATAAAATCCGCAATTAGAATCAATGATTCTGTTCACGGACGAGGCTAATTTTTCTCGAAATGTCATTCAGAATTTCCACAATAATCACTTGTGAGCAGAAGAAAATCTCTATACCGTAACCAAAACCCATTTCCAACACCAAATTTCGGTTAACGTATGGGCAGGAATTATTGGCAATCACTTTATTGGCCCGTTCTTCTTGCCGGGACGACTTGACGGACAGACTTACCTCAATTTTGTTCAACAACAGTTGTCTTTGCTGCTTGATGATGTTCCGTTTGTAATAAGAAAGAATGTGTGGTTATGTATATTGCTTGAAGCACTCCTTATGTTCGGGACATATTTTATATTTTACTGTGCAAATTTTATCATGTTGTTTAAGTTGGACGTAGAAAGAAAAAAGAAATACAATATTAAATAAAACTATTCGGAGTTTATGACGTAAAATTTTGAAAAGGAAGATTATGTAAGAGTAATCCTTTTATTTCTTTTTATGTCGGTCATCATATCAGATACACTGTCACACATCTGAGCTGATGGCAAAAAATACCAACCGTCAATGTTTCAATTTTCGGCAAATTTGAGCTTCTGATTTTACAAAAACGGTAACTTTTTACGTAGATTAGGGGTGTTTTAGAAATATTTAAAAAAATACGTCAGTCCACGTGGGACATACCTACAGATGACGTTTCTTTGTTTACAATTTGTACGAAGTCACATCATGCCCGACAGTGTTTTCACCGTTGATACTAAAAACAAGAAATATATAGTAAGTGACATATAAATCCGAACACCCACTTTAAATGGTTTTATTTTAATAAAATTTTGTATAAGTACTTAATGAAGCATAATAAGTAAATGATAAAAATTTTAAAATGATTGCACTGCTTTAAAGCCCTTTGACCTTTAGTAATGTGTAGATGCACCCTGATGTGCTACGCATTCTCCAATGCGTCTAGGCATGCTTTTGATCAGGTGGTCAATGTCCTCGTGTGGTATCTCATTCCAGGCAACCACCAACTCCTCTAGAAGTGCTTCTAGAGTCTGAGGAGGACGTTGCAAATTGAGCAATCTCCTACCCATCATATCCCACACGTGCTCAATTGGGGATAAGTCGGGAGATCTTGGTGGCCATGGTAATAATGTGACATCATTATGTTGAAAGAAGTCTATTGTGAGTCTTGCAATATGTGGTCGGGCATTATCTTGTTGGAAAGTTGGATCTGCCAGGGTGTCAAGATAGGATGAAAGATGGGGTTCTAGAACTTCGTGGATATAACGCTGCGCGTTCATGTTACCTCTGATGAAGATTAAAGGTGACCTGGAACCATAAGCTATAGCACCCCAAACCATAACTCCAACAGTGTGATGAACATGTCTTTCAACAAAAAACTGTGGATTCCTCCTTTCACCACGTCGCCTTCTAACCCTGGCACGACCATCGTGCATGCCTAAACAAAATCGATACTCGTCACTAAAGACATACTGTTCCATTCCTGATCCCAGAGTGACCGTTGTCTGCACCACTCAAGGCGATTACGTCGGTGTTCTCGAGTTAAAGGGAGGACCCAGTGTGGCCGGTATGAAAACAAGCCAAAACTTCTCATTCGTCGGTAAACACTTCGCATGCCAATAGGTCTTCCGTGTTCTGCAAACCATTCATTTGCAATGGACCTGGTAGTGGAGAAACGGTCCCTTAAGGCCAATAATCTTAGGCGGCGATCTTCACGGTCTGTTGTTCTACGGCGGCGTCCAGTGCCCCTTGCTCTTTGCGTACGGCCTTCTCGAAGCCATGCCTGACAACACCTAACCCAGTGTCTACACCTCTTTGCACTCTAACTGCAATTGCCCGAAAAGAAAGTCCAGCTTCCCGAAGTCCCACTATACGGCCCCTATCAAACTCACTAAGTTGACGAAATCGTACAGGTCTCCGTACTCTAGGCATCCTAACCGATCGTAAAGGATGTCAAGAACCAAAATCCGCCAACGTTGATTCTTTACTGCGGCTGAAATATTCATTTTTAGAGCGTTAGTGAATTAAAAAAAGCAGTATAAAAACCGGAATGTCCAACTGATAAGGCTGAAAATTTTTTCACTTGTTATTATAGCAAGATAAATACATTCACCAACTTTTATTAAAATAAAACCATTTAAACTGGGTGTTCGGATTTATATGTCACTTAGTATACATGTATGTTTTTAAATTGGACATATCCATCTCGCGCTTTAAAAAATTGAAATCGATATATTTTGTGCTTCTAAGCCAAATACTGTAAGAAATACTCATTCGTTCTAAGAAAATAAATATGAGCAATGTAGCCTATTTTGGAAATATAACAAGCTTGTTTATGTTTTCAGAATGCAGAAGTATATATCAGTTTTATGTTTTATATATAAATAACTAGATTACACCCGCGGCTCCGCTCGCGTGGACTTAGTATAAAGGATATAATGAACATTTTTTATCCAACATTTTAATGCAACAATAAATTAATTTCAGCGCTTCACTTTTTATATTCTCGATGAAAAGTAAGAAGTTTACTTGAACATTTATCTGGTCTTAAACCTAGACGGCCATGGTCAGGTTTATTGGCAAATGTATACGCGAATTTGCTGCAATTTGCATTTGAGCAATTAAAAATAAAGAAAGACAAGTTGTCATGCGGAAACTCAGACGAAAAACAAAGGACAATCGTGAACATGCCTGGGATAAAGGCACAGGAACAGACGTAGAAGGATTGGTAACCTAAGGAGTGTACGTTTTTGCTTATTGGCCTCATCAGACCCAAATGAATGTGCACCGAGAACACCGACGTGAAAGCATACACTCTGGATACGGTTGTAACCTGAGGCCAGCTATAGCTACCTGCTCTGAAACTAAAAATAGATTTTGTGCCCTTAAAAATTCATTTGATCTTCAAATGACGTTGATGGTCATAGTCAAGGTCATGGGCACACCCCGTTGCCTAGCAACGGTGACGCAGAAGGTCGTGCAATCTGCCGCGTTGTCACGATGTTACACCAGAAAATGTTCGCACAAGCTTCTAGAATAAGTTAGGTTACTTAGAAGGGCGTCTGTCGTTTTGATTTTGATTAGAATTATATATTTCAATTTTCATGCGACACTTTTAGTATTCACCATCAGCACATCATAACAACAGTCTGTTAAAGTCATGGATAAGTCAACAGCGCGATGTTGGACTGGTAAACCACTAACTGGCTGTTTAATACTAAAAAGTACTGTTTAATCACAAAATGGATAGCCTCAGTAGAATTGATATTATCGACATATTAGAATCTTCGGAAAGAGACACGAATGACATTGAAGATATCCCGAGAGGAAGAATTGTAAGAACTAGGTGGTTTCCCTTGATTGAACTAGATGATTTGGAGTTCAAAAGGAGATTTAGAATAAATAAGAATATATTTAGGCGACTGGAAAATGTATTGCAAAATGTTATAGAACCGATAAGTAAATTAGATTCCCAGGCAAGCTTCTTCCAGCACTCACTTTTGTACTTGTTAAATACCAAGTTAGTCTTTTTGTCTTCAATTATGCTTCGATATTTTTTAACCAAGGAAATTATTGTCTCTTTTCCGTTGATGTATAGTTAGCTGATCTTTTTTCTCTGACATTTGCTTGATGCAAAACCATTACAGAACTGACAACACACTGACAAAACTGTGAATGACAACCACATGGCAACACTCAGCAGCTATAAAGTGAGGTTAGATGTGGTTCTCTCGTTTTTTTGTGCAGAGGCACCAACTTAAAGAAATTTAAGATTTTTGTATGAGAGTTTGTTATCAGAAGCCGAAAAGTTTTGGTGAGTACCAGTATTGTTTAACAGACTG